AAATGGTGTTAAGAACAACCAGATACCCATATTAAAAAAAAAGAATTTCAATTCTATACTTGTATTTATACCTTATATTAAAAATTAACCTAAACTGGATTATAAACACAAGTATAATACTGTAAAACTTTTAGAAGATAACATACGTGAAAACTTTGGGTTAGGGAAAGAGTTCTTAGATAAGACATCAAAGAAGAATCTATTTTTAAAAAAACTATAAATTGAACTTCATTAAAAATTAAAGCTTTTTCTTTTTACTGTTGAATGAAAAGCACTAAGAGAAAATATTTGTAAATCACTTGTCAAGAGATTTATTTAATCCAGAACTCAAAACTCAGCTATAAGAAAAGTACCTAATTTAAAAATGAGTAGGAGATTTTGAACAGGCACCAGAGAATATTTCGACATTTCAAAACTGCAAATTAAAACCACAATGGAATAGCTCTCTACCTCTATTAACGTAACTAATATTTTAAAACAGAGAATACCAGGTGCTGGGAGCTATGTAGAGCAATTGGGAATGTAGTAACACTCCTGGTAGGAATACAAAATGATAGAACCATTTTGGAAAACAGCTTGGTGATTTCCTATAAAGTTACTATGTGAGTCAGCAGTCTCCTAGCAGGGTAGCCAGGAGAAAGAAAAACATGTTTACACACAAAAAACTTAAATGTAAATGTTTACAGTAGCTTTATCCATAATAAATAAAAGCTGGAAACAATCCAAATACTCTTCAGTTGTTAATAAGCTGTGGTACATCTGTGTAGTGAAATTTATTCAGGAGTAATAAGATACAAACTATTGGGGATGCAGTAGCATAGAAGAATCTCACATGCATTGTGCTAACTGAAAGAATCCTGACTCTGAATATACAATGATTTTATTTATATGAAATTATAACATTTGTGGAAAAGGTGTAACTACAGGACAGTAAAAGATTGGTTGCCAGGAATTAAAGTTGAAGATTTATTTGGACTGCTGAGGAGCTGGAAAGGATTTTCACGGGGGGAGGGTGATGAAACTGTTCTTGATTATGGTGTCTGTCACTTGACCCTGTGCATTTGTCAGAGAATTTTATATTACTTGAGATGTGATTGAATGTCTTGATGTGACCAAGTATCAATAAGGATTGAAGAATGGAGATGCTCTCAACTTGCTTTGGGAGAATAAATTGCTGCAACCACTTTGGAAATCCATTGGGCATACCCTGGTAAAGATGAAAATGGTCATGTCTTATGACACAGCAACCACGCTTCTAGATGTGTACCCAGATGCTCACTGTGTGAGAGCGTAATCAGAATTCAAGAATGTTTACAGCAATGGAGCAAGCTAAATGTCCAAAAGGAAAATGGATAAGTAGTGCCTTATTTCTACAATTGATACAAGATTTTGAAATACACAAATAAAAATATACACAAATACTATATATTTTTATAGATACATAAATTTAAAAGTCTAAAAATGTACAAAGTAATTATAAAAATCATACTCAAAACAGGGAATGTAGGAAAGATAGTAGGAACATAGATGGCTTTAGTTGTACAGTTGACCCATGAATGACATAGAGGCTAGGGTCACTGACCACTTGCAGTTGAAATTCTGAGTATAACTTTATAGTCAACCCTCGACATACGAGGTTCCACGTCCTCAGATTCAACCAGCTGCAGACCGTGTAGTGCTGTGAAAGAGAAAGTGTTGGTCACTCAGTCATGTTCAGCTCTTTGCAACCTGATGGTCTGTAGCCCGCCAGGCTCCTCTGTCCATGGAATTCTCCACACAAGAATACTGGAGTGGGTTGCCATTCCCTTCTCCAGGGGATCTTCCCGAACCAGTTATCAAACATGGGTCTCCCACATTTCAGGCAGATTCTTTACCATCTGAGCCACCAAGGAAGCGTAGTGTAATACTATAGTATGTGATTATTGAATAAAATCCACGTAAATGGACCTGCATATTTGAAACCCATGTTCAAGGGTCAACTGTAACAGAAATGAACTGTACAAGTCCACATACATAGGTTTTATTCAGTAAATAATATAGTGTTATACAACCTGCAGTTGGTTCTGTTTATAGACAGAACCACACACAGAGGTTGCACTGTAGGACTTGAGCACCTGCAGGTTTTGGTGTCCAGAGCAGGACCTTCCGAGAACCAGTCACCCATTACTGCTGAGGGGTGACTGTGCAGGTGAGGTGGGGCTGTGGGTTTTGTTTTAATATTTAATAATTATTTAAATATTTAAGTGAAATTAGTACGTTTGATATGTCTCTTTTATAAAATACCTCATGAATAAATGATTTTATAGTGATAAGTTTTTTTAGGAATGTAACCTAGAATGTTAAGTATTGAAGAATATTACTTTTAATATATAAAAGTAAATTGATTTTTTAAAGTTAACATAAAAAACACTTGGCATGGAAATTAGATCAAAAATTTTTAATTGGGTTCAACTAAAAGAGTAAACAGATGATTTCATTTGAAGAATTTAAAAGAGAAAATGTTAAAGACCACAATAACCCTTTAATACTCAAAATGGGGTAAACTAGTTTACGGGTGATGTTCAAGAAAAATTCACTTATGTATAGAAGTCGTTGGTGTTTGCATTTAAGTAGTGTTTTAGTCAGTTTTATCAGTGGCCTTTCCATAAAAATAACAGCTTTCTGAGGATCTCGTTGCATTTCTTTTGCAGTCTCTGGGGCCTCTAATAAATAGCCTCCTTTTCCCCATTGGAGTTATGAACCAGTTGAGATGGTGGAGCTTCAGAATAGCCCCTTTATTATAATAAAGGCTAGGAAGCAGTTTATGGTGAGAAAATCAATCTAGACCTGCTACTTCCATACCCACCAAGTCCACCTCCTACCTAAGCCTAGACTGAACCTCCCATCCGAGGAAAGTGCATCTGCAGAAGAGACCCACTTACCCGGGTCACTGTTATTCTCATTCACTGGTCCAGGGAAGGAGGAAAGGAAAAGTGACCAAATACCATCCCCGACCAGGTGACACTCTCCACTTCCCTGGGAGGGTATAGGAGGAGGTAAGAGGCTAAGAGGGTTTATGTTTAAATAAAGATCTGCAGTCTGGGTGAGAGAAGAGTAGTTTGTGCCCCGATCCACCCATTTCAGTTTGTTAGCCTCATAATGTTAGAAATCTTTTCTGAAGATTAGTTGAATTAAACTACTAATATCAATATTTAACTGTATTCACAATAGAAAAGAATGTTATTTTTGTCATATGACTTACCTTAAAACTTTGATTTTTAAAAGTTACATATTTAAAGCGCATTTACGATGGCCTTACACAAAAATGGTGCTTCTTTGGATTAAAAAAAACGGTAGAGAGTAAATACTTCTTGATGGTCTTCCTGATATTCAGCTCTATCAAAACTAGGTTTTACAGACCTGTTCACTTTTTCATTGATTGCTCTTTCTGAGCAAGAATTATACTGGATAACACATTGACACTCTCATTGGAAGACCATACAATATAATGGAGAAGACAAATAATAACAAATATTAGTGAAACTCACCACCAGACAACCATGGGCAGAATGTTCTGGTTATATAAATGATGGAGAAAGTAATGAAAACAGATTGCATATTTTAAGCAAACATTACTTCTGTGTTAAAATACATTTATGAGGTTTTGTGAAGTTTTGAAATGGAAGTACATTACCAGTAATTTTGCTCATGAAAGTGGCTAACTGGTCATTTTATTTTATTTTATTTTTTTCTAATTGGTTATTTTAAATAAGCCAAAGTTACTGGTCAAAATTTAACTCTGAGATATATTTTTGAGTTTTTGTTCTTAGTTTTATGTCATCAAGGTATTTTTGGTGGGGGAAGTGTCTGATGTTTTTGTTTTATGAAGCCCTTTAAATTACAGGGTGGGTGTGGCATCATACTGCTACCTCAGAAATAGCAATCATCAAGGTGAATACTAAATCTTTATTCTTCATTCACTAAAATTTTACTTTAATTGTAGAGTCACATATGAGCAACTATATCCAAAAATGAACCATGTATGTGAAGAGTGTGTGTATATGTGCATGTATGCACGTATACACATAAAAGGCATCCCAGGGAATGTGAAGAACATACATCTTAATAAGATTCAGACCAACTTAGGTTCACATCCTCGCCCTAAGTAACCTTGGGCAAGTTCCTTAGTCCAAATGAGCCTTAATTTCTTCCGAGCCCAAGAAGAATAGTACCTGTTTCATTCTGTTCTTTTGGAGATTTTGCTCAAGAGGTTTCTAAGCCTAAAGTCTAATGGAACTCCTCAAATAAGAATGGGTCAAGCACATTTTAAGAAAACTGAGTGCTGGGTAGCAGACTGCCTATGAAATTTGAGGAAAGGGGATACTAAGCAATAGAATACTAGTGCTTATTTTGAAACTCCAGTTTAAATCTTTGTGACTGAAAAGTTAGAAATTGTTAATTTATGGAGTAAAATCATAAAACCACTTACATATGCAACAGTAGGGTAGTGAGTAAATAAATGACATCATAGGAATTATTACAATTATGAAGCGATAGGTAAGTTTTGATATGTTACAGCAAAAGCAGAGTGTGTGTTTCTTAAAATTAAGCTTAGGTTTTAAAAATGTGAAGAAAAACTGAAAAAAATTAATCATAGTAATTGTTAAAGTGATAGGATTATGAATCTTTCTTTTATTTTCCCAGTTTGTCAGTACCACAAGATTGTTTTTATAACAAAGAAAACATGTATGATAGTCATGCCTCATGAAGCAAAAAATTTCTCTATAGACAAAACACAAGCTTTAGGTTCCTTAATGCTTGGTTCTATTATTAAGACAACCAAAGAAACAGAATATTAATCTTAGTTCTTTTACCTTCTTAGGCATCTACCTTTTATCTATTGTTTTTTCTGTCAGCTGTAATAGTTCAGTCCACGTTACATATTGATTGGATAATAGAACTAGAAAATTAAAATTAATATCTTTTTAAAAGCACTGTTTTTCTTTGTTTTAATGTTGCAGATTTATTTGAGGTTCCTAGATTATCAAATGGAGCACTCAAATGAATGCAAGAGAAACTTCGTTGCAGTCTACGATGGAAGCAGTTCTATTGAAAATCTGAAGGCCAAATTTTGCAGCACTGTGGCCAATGATGTAATGCTTAAGACAGGAGTTGGGGTGATACGCATGTGGGCAGATGAAGGTAGTCGGCTAAGCAGGTTCAGAATGCTCTTTACTTCCTTTGTGGAGCGTAAGTAAATAATTTCTATAGCAGTGAGGTCTTTTACATAATCATTTACTAAGAATACAATTATTGAGCATTTCCTTTTGACAAAGACTGCTAGTCACAGAATGTAGAAATAAGTAGGTCTTAGTGTGTATCTTAAAGAATTGACTGTCATGGGTGGAAAAAACCATGGTAATGCGTAAATTGCAACACTACCAGTTATAAAGATGTATGGTAGGGAGTGTAAGAAGTGGAGACTTCTCTCAGAATGTTCACAATTAAAAATAATTATCAGTAGTATGAATTCATCTTGGTAAATAATTGTGACTCCACCAAACCATGCTCCCCGAAGGTTTAGGTAGACTGTTTTCTTTTTTAAAACTTTTAAAGTAATTTTAAGCTTATAAAAAGTTGTAAAATAGTAGAGTTCTCCTGTGCCCTTCGCTTAGATTCCCCTAATGTTACCATCTTACAATACCATAGTAAAGCTGAATGTTAACACTGATGCAGTATTATTAAACAGTATATAGACCTTACTCAGAAATCACTAGTTTTCTCATTAATGTCCTTTTCTGATCCAAAATAGCAAGTTGCTTTTGTCATGTCTCCTTTAATTTGCTCTGTTTGTGGCACTTTCTCAGTGTTTAGTGACCTGGATGCCTTTGAAGAGCACTGGCCAGCTACTTAGTAGCATGTCCATCAGTTTAGGTTTCTGATGTCCCCTCTCTCCTGAGCTGAGGTCATGCGTGTCTGTCAAGAATACAACAGAAATCACGTTCCACCTTTCTCAGTACATAATGTGGGTTTGCCTCATACTAACTTGAATCACTTTCTTAAGGTACTGTCTGCCACATTTCTGCACTATAAACTTAACAATTTTTCTTTTCAAATTAATAACTCCCTCAGAGTATGCAAATACCCTTTTGCTCACTAATATTAGCCTCCATTAATGGTTTCTGCCTGTAATAACTATTACTATAGTATTTACTTTAAGGTGGTTTTCTGTTTGCATCATTCTTTCTACATTTGTTAATTATAATTTTGTGAGGAAGAGCTATTCTTTCCTCCTCGTTTATTTATTCTATTTGTGTCACTATGAGCTCATGTATATTTATTTTACTCTATTATATATATAATTCTATGATAGCATTTACTTTGGNTTGTCAGGTAGTTTGAACATTCTTTAGCCCTGCCCTTCTTTGGAATTGGAATGAAAACTGACCTTTTCCAGTCCTGTGGCCACTGTTGGATTTTGCCAAATACCCTTCTAGAATGGTTGTATATATTTTTAAATTATGGTAAAATATACCCTAAGCCATTTTTCAGTGTACAGTTCAGTGGCATTAACACATTCACAACATCATTCAACCATCACCACTATCCACTTGCAGAACTTATGTAACATCCCAAATTAAAACTCTATACCCATTAAATAATAACTTCCATTCCCTATTCCCTCAACTGCAGGTAACCTCTATCTTTCTGTCTCCATGAATTTCCCTATTCTAGATACCTCATATAAATGGAATATTTGTCCTTTTGTGTCTGATTTATTATACTTAGTATGTTTCTAAGAATTTCAGTCCTTTTTAAGGCTGAATAATTTTCCATTTTACATATACATTTTTGTTTATCGTTTCATCTATTGATGAACACTTGAATTGTTTCTGCTTTTGGCTATTATGAATAAAGCCACTATGGATACTGGCATAGAGTTATCTCTTTGAATCTCTGATTTCAGTTTTTGCTGTACCTAGAAGTGGAATTGCTGGATCATATAAATGTTGTTTATTTAAAAAATTTTTTTTTTGCTGGAGTATAGTCAGTTAACAATGCTGTAATAGTTTCAGGTGGACAGCAAAAGAATTCAGCCATACATAGACATATTTCCATTCTCCCCCAAACTTCCCTCCCATCTAAGCTGCCACATGACCTGGAACAGAGCTCCTTGTACTGTACAATAGGTCCTTGTTGGTTAACCTCCTTAAATATGACATTTGTACATGTTGATTCCAAACTCCCTAACTAAATATGGATATTCTACATAGAATATTAAAATTTAATATCAGCGTATTACAATTTAAAATCTATTTAAATGTTTGAGGACCACCAGCTACTTTCACAGCAGCTATTCCATTTTACATTCCCTCCGGCAATGCAATAGTCCCCATCCTCACCAAAACCTTTTTTTTTTATCAGTAGCCATCCTAATGGCTATATGGTGTGATTTTTTTCATTTGTGATTCCAATTTGTATTTCCCTAATGATGAGTGATGTTGAGTATCATTTCATGCTTCTTAACCATTTGTATACCTTCTTCGGTGAATACTTCATTTTATTGCACTTCACAGACACTGCATTTTTATTTGCACATTGAACTCTTGTGGCTACTCTGCCTTGAGCAAGTTGGTCAGCACCATTTCTTCAACATTTGCTCACTTAATGTTTCTGTGTTACATTTTAGCAATTCTCATAACATTACAAACTTTTTTGTTATTGTATATATTATGGTGATCTGTGATCAGTGATCTTTGATGTTATTATCACAAAAAGATTATGACTTCCTGAAAGCTCAGATGGCAGTTAGCATTTTTTAGCAGTGAAATATTTTTTAATTCAGGTATGTGCATTATTTTCTTAGGTGTAATACTATTAGGTACTTAATACATTACAGCATAGTGTAAGCATACCTTTTATATGCAGTGAGAAACCAAAAACTTTGTATGACTCCGTTTACTACAATACTTGCTTTATTGCAGTGGTCTGAAAGTGTGGTATGCTTGTATTTAGTCCTTTACTCATTTTTTAACTTGAAAGTGAAAGTGTTAGCCACTCAGTTCGTGTTTGGCTCTTTGTGACCCCGTGGACTGTAGCCCACCATGCTCGTCTGTTCGTGGAATTCTCCAGGCAAGAGTACTGGAATGGGTAGCTAGTCCCTTCTCCAGGAGATCTTCCCAACACAGGGATCAAACCCAAGTTTGCTGTATTGCAGGCAGTTTCTTAACCATTTGAGTCACCAGGTAGGTTCTTGGATTTCTGTTAAGTTGTAGAAGTTCTTTATATATTCTGGATATTAATCTCTCATCAGATATATGATTAGCAAGCATTTTTTTCCCATTCTGTGCATTATCTTTTCACTGTCCTGATTGTGTACTTTGAGAAAACAAAAATTTGATGTTATCCAGTTGGTCTGTTTTCTCCTTTTTGTCTATGCTTTCGGTGTCATAGTCAAGAAATCATTGCCAAAGACAACATTATGAAGCTTTTCCTCTATTTTTAAAAATATTTGATAGCAAGTTTTTATTAATTTCTAGTATTATGTCTTGTGTATACAGTGTTGTATTTTTATTTTTGTATACACTGCAGCACAGTCACCACCAATAGTTTCTTTTCCGTCTGTCAGTGTACAGTTGGCCTCTTTTACCCATTTGTCGTCCCCACACCCCATAACCACTCCTCTGTTTTCTGTAACTGTATGTTTGATTTGTCTGTTCTTTGTTTTTTAAATAATCCACATATGAGTGAAATCCTGTGGTGTTTGTCCTTTTCCATCTGATTTATGTCATTTAGCGTAATACCCTTTGGGTCTATCCATGTTGTTGCAGATGACAAGATTTCATCTTTTCTTACAATTGAGTACTAGTCCATTTTATATATACGTATATACCACATGTTTATCCATTCATCCATCAGTGGGGCTTTGGTTCTTTCAATATTTTGTAAATAATGCTATTGTAAATAGCATTTGTAAATAGCTATTGTAAATAATGCTGAGATGAACACAGGGACATAAATCTTTTTAAATTAGTCTTTTCTTATTCTTTGGATAAATACCCAGAAGTGGAATAGCTGGATCATGTAGAAGTTCTGGTTCTTAATTTTTTGAAGAGTCTCCATACTGTTATCTATAATGTCTGTAACAACTTACATTTCCACCAAAACTGTATGGAGGTTCCTTTTCTTCACATCCTCTCTAACACTTGTTATCTCTTGTCTTTTTGATAATAGCCATTCTGACTGGTGTGAGGTAGTATCTCATTATTTTGATTTGCATTTCCCTAATAATTAGTGATGTTAAGCATTTTTTCATGTGCCTGTTGGCCATTTGTATGTCTTCTTTGGAACGATGTCTGTTCAATACCTCTGCCCGTTTTTTAAATCTAGTTCTTTGTTTTTTGGTTATTGAGTTGTATGTGTTATTTCTATTATTTTGTATATTAACCCCATATTGGATATATGATTTGCAGATATTTTCTCCTGTTCATTAGGTTGCATTTTCATTTGTTGATGGCTTCCTTTCCTGAACAAAAGCTTCTTAGTTTGATGTAGTCTCACATTTTATGTTTGCTTTTATTTCCTTTGCCTAAGGAGACATATTCAGAAAAATGTTTGCCAAGACGAAGAGCAGAGAGTGTACTGCTTGTTTTCATCAAGGAGTTTTATGGTTTCAGGTCTTACATTCAAGTATCTAATCTATTTGGAGTTGACTTTCGTATTTGGTGTGAGGCAGCGATCTAGTTTCATTCTTTCTCATTGGCTGTCCAGTTTTCCTTGTGCCATTCATTTATTTAAAAGACTATTCTGTCTCCATTGTATGTTCTTTGCTTCTTTGTTTTAAATTAGTTGTTCATATATGTGTGGGTTTATTTCTGGACTCTCAGTTCTTTTCCATTAATCTCTGTGTCTCTTTTCTGCCAATAACATGCTGTTTTGAATACTGTAGCTTAGTAATATAACTTGAAATCAGGGAGTGTGATACCTCCAGCTTTGTCCATTTTCCTCAGGATTGCTTTGACTATTTGGGGTCTTTTATGTTTCTATATAAAGTTTATTAGAGTTTTTTGTTCTGTTTCTGAGAAAATGTCCTTGGAATTCTGATAGGAATTGCATTGAATCTGTAGTTTGCTTCAGGTAATTTGGGCATTTTAAATTAATTGTTCAGTCCATGAGCACAAAGGATATTTCCATTAATTTGTATCTTCAATTTCTTTCAACAATAATCTTACAGTTTTCAGTGTACAGGT